GCGGGCGCGCTGCACAGATTGGGAAGCGGTGTCCCCCTGGTGTTTCCCCAGAGCAGCCCTGATTTCGAGCGCGCCTTCTTGCCAATAGGTGTCTCCTCTTCTCTAGCGCTGAGTGCGCGCTCTTGGCCTTCGCTGGTGCAGCCTCGCGGCGGTAGAAACTCAGTTCAAATGCAGGCGGCTTGAGGACGGGGCGAGATTAGGGCCGTCAGAACTAGGAAGGAAAGACACTTTGGGAAGAAGTGAGGTTTCTTTGGGAAAGGAGTATGGCCCAGTTACTTCCCCAGTGGGGCAAGGTCACCCTGTGTCTTCGAAGACTGGCCATACAGCGAAGTGTGGGGGTTCTGCGCCCCTCCACGGGCTTAGTCGGTGGGGGGTTCTCTCCGAGAGCTGGGTCCCCGAACTGCCTCCAGCCAGAGCCGCTCCGGGCCGCGCCATCAGGCTGGGGGCCCGACCCGCAGGATTAAAAGCCATTGAAGGTACTGTTGCGCACAGCCCCTAATTCAAGCCATGTTGCAGACTTATAGGATTCATAATCTTACACAATCATAAGACTTGAGAGTTCCAACTGTAGAAAATGTTTCAGGACATTTGGAAAAGGGACCGCCAAGTTTCAAGCTACTTGCTTAGAGTCAGGAAGATAGCTTAAGAGTCTGCCCCGAAACCTGGTGATGGCAAGGCGCTGGCCACCCTCGCGTGCAGCCTCAGGTCCACAGGTTCCCTCTCCCTCCCTTAAAAGAAGCACTCCTGGGACCCAAGCAGCCCACAGCTCCTACTGGTTGGTGTTCCTGCAGGTGTCTGAAAATAGCCTGGGAAAGGGTGACCAGCATCCTAGTTAGGGATGACGATGGCAAATACGTGGTGGAAACTGGGAGACACCTTTCCAAGTGCCTTATCAGTGCTGAAGTATTTTATTTAAATTATTTTAAGAAAACTGCCAAGCCTGCCAATGCGTAGTGAGTGCTTTTGGTTTATAAGGGCAGACACCCTGCTGGGGAGTGCCAGAAACTCAATGCTGTTGCCTCCTGCATGGTTCTAATAAATGCAATGGCTACACTGCCATTTGCAAAGACAGCCAGCTTGGGGTAACGTCCCCATGTTCAGCAGACATGAGCTCAAGCCCACACACTCAATACAGGAAGGCCGATGTGGTCAGGGTCCTGCTGTCTTAGGTTATTTCTACGTGTTGTGCATCACGGAAGGTTATCTTATGTTCCTTACATTTCACCCCAATTTAGAACATGGTTAAATGTAAACTTTGGGTAAAGTTTACAGGATGAGCTCTTACTATGAAAATATTTTTTAAAAAAATTGTTGAGGTTTTGATTTGAAATCTTTGGACACGTATTTCAAAGTTTTCTCCACATATTCCTCTTATCATTGCTTTGAAAAATGTGGGTCTTTCAAAGGTTAGATTTCTTGAACAGTCGGTGGTCTGTCTGCAATAATCTTTTCTCTTACAAGAGGAGCAGGCATCTCTGGGGGTGCTGTTTACTGTTCATGTTTCCTACTTAAGGAAACACGTAAGGTGCCTCTGCTAAGACACAGCCCCCCGGTCCCAGGGATGTGCTTTGACTGAACACATATGTGTATTTTATAAGGACTGCAGAATTAGGCTTACCAGAATGTATGATCTAATCCTTCCCATCGACAGGCGCTGGACAGAGAGGCAGAGCCCTCCCTGCAGGTCCACGCCTGCCTGGCTGAGGGCTGGGGGACTGTATCTGGCCCTTCCCCGCAGGCCCGGCCAGGCCCTCGGTGCCCAGCGACACACTCGGCGATTCCCAGCACTGCCCTCCAGTTTAA